TGACTTTAAGAATAAGTGTGATATAACAAACAATGACATTATTATATTGTAAGGACAAGAAATAGGGGGTGAGTTATAAAGCAGAACATTTGTATTTACACAGCAGTGTTTTAATAACCAGTAAAATTTTGGAAGAGAACTAGAAAAATAGTTAAAAGATAAATGGACTTATGTTTCAGTGTTATGATTTTTCACATACACTAAAGTTCTTTTTTTTTTTTTTTTTTTTTTGTAAATCCTTGAGTTTCGGACAGGACCCTAGGAGAGTTGTTGGCATCCTTTGGTCAACACATTTGTCAGGGTATTTTCTTTTTTCAATGCCCTTCTATGGTTCTAGTAAGCTATAACCTCATTAGCAACACATTCTGAGGGGTATAGTATGATAGCTTTACTACAAAGGGCTTCTGTATTTCAGTTGCCAGGATATAACACTCTTATGACAGGGGAGAAAAAGAAAACTTGCTGGGAAGGGGAAGCTTAGACATTATTTACTCTAAATATTGGAGCTTTCCATCTGAAAGTTTACAGAGGCTAAAGAATTGTTGAATTTGGAGATTTCAAAATAAAAATCTCCAGCAAATACTAAAAATGTTTCCAGCCTGCAAACAAGTCCTGTTCCCTCCTGTGAGCGTTTGCCTTCCGTAGCTTTGGATGAGCCTATAAGTTATTCTCATCACAAATACCTTTCACTAAGAGACACAGTATCACCCTCTTCTGGAATGAAACAAATAGAACATTCTGGTGCGGGGCTAGGCAACCTGAGAACAGACTGTCAGTTGTGTTGAGTTTTGGTTTTTTTTTTTTTTTTACCTCTTTATATCAAGTATGTTTTTTAGGCTACATCAGGTTAGAGCAGTGCAGACTTTGAAAGGCCCAATCCAAATTAACCTTGGCAATGTTCCAGAAGTGCTGGGAACTGGCAAATTTAAATCATTTTCAACTCCAAATTCTTTTTTCCTTTTACCTTTGGCTTTATGTCATCATATAGGAGTTAAAACTATGGAAAAACATGTTATTACTGATTTTACCTCTTCTGGGGCCCTGGACGTGGTCTACATAGGCAGAACGCATTACAATCAATGTCATTGTTCACAAAAGTGTTATATATGGCAAAGAGATCATTAAGTCTTAGCCAACCATAGAAACAAGGCTCTGTTGACACAGTTTAAAAGAATTCTATGCATAAATGCTTTCTCTGGTCCCTATCCATGTACCTGTCACTCTTTAGCATGACAATATGTAGGAGTGTGGTATGTTTTCCAGCTGTGGGTGAATGGGGTAGGCAACAAGGATAAAGACTGAGCTATAGCTGAACTCAGTGTACGAGGTTGAAATGGATGAAATTGCCATATTTGTAAGTCAAAACCAATTGAATATCAATAGTTTCATATGATTCAACCTAACAATTATTTGGATCTGTTATCAATTAGTAGTTATCCTTCAATTCACTTTAGTTCCCAGCGTATAAACTAAGTTCACCTAAATCGACAAGCCATTTTCAAAACAAAGCAACTCAAAAAAAGTACTGAAGGTTCTCTGTGCCTATTTCTTTTTTTTTATAAAGTTTTAGTTTTATTAAGTCTAGTCGTCTTAATATATATAATTATCTTCTGTAACATGTTTTTACTTCTCAGTTTCTTCATCTGTAAAATGGGGATGGTAATGGCACCTGCCTCATAGAGCTATTGCGAAGGGTAAATGCAAAGGCACAATAAGCACTCAGTAAATTTAGCCATCATTAACATTGTCATCATTATCAACATCCTACTAATTTGTTCAACAGATAATTGTGGGCATGTGACTACATGGCAGGCTAAGTGCCACGTGCTATGACCAAATTTCTGAACAAGCTATACTCTCTACCCTAAGGAGCTTACAAGCAAGTATATGGCAATTAGAATGTAGTGTAGTCATTGCTGGTGTGAGATCAACCGAGCTGTGGACACACATAGGTGAAGCCTAACTTTATCCTAACGATAAAAAGACAAGGCTTCTTGGAGGATGCGTTATCTAAACTGAAACCTAAAGGGGGCACCTGGGTGGCTCAGTCGGTTAAGCATCTGCCTTCGGCTCAGGTCATGATCCCAGGGAGCAGGGAGCTGCTTCTCCCTCTCCCTCTGTGTGCTCGTCTCTCTCTCTCTCTCTCTCTCTCTCTCTCTCTCTCTCTCTCTCTCTTTCTCTCAAATAAATAAATCTCTAAAAATAAAATAAAAAACAAACAGAAACCTAAAGGACTAGTGAAATCGGTCAAGCAGAAAGGTCCAGAAAGATCAGTCTCATCAGCATGAGTATGAAGTATAGGGGCCTGAGGAAGGGAGACCGTGATGTGGTCCAAGACCTGCACATAGTTAAATGTGACGGGAGTGGAGAACAAAATATGAAATCATTACTTCCCTCCTGCTCTGCAGTTGTTACCCCGTAACGTTGGCAGGTTTCATCTGTTGCCACTAAAGCAGAAATGTATATGATTTCCACCAGTATGATCAAGAGAGTAATGCCAGTTGCTGATTCGGATAGCTTGACAGCTGCTGACCAAGGGGTTCTAACTATAATGTTTCTGTCCTGTACAGAAGCAGCTACTTTATAAAGGGATTTTTATATGGCAGAGGTTCTAGGTAGGAAAAAATGGACTCAAAACATATGGGCTCTGGAATAAAAAAAGGAATAAAGGAAATGTGTTCATAATGCCACACGCTGGTATCAATAGTAACATGGCTGTAGAAGCTGGATTACCTGTATAGCTGAATTTATCTTAAAAACAAAGCCAGTTAGTGCTGAGCTAACCATGAACACTAAAAATCAATCTGATTGATGAGGATTGTTTTGGTCCAGAGCAGAGTAAACCAGGAAATGCAAAGGATTGCCGCACACACATTCCTTCCGGCAAGGCTGTTCCCCCAAATAGAACAACCCTTTCCTTCATCAAACCCCTGCACAGTCAGATGTGTTTTTCTTTCTGCTTTTGTCCTCTTACTACAGTGGAATTTGTACATCCTTTACAGTACTTTATGTTTGATAAGGGGGTTATAAGTCATGTCTTACATTTCTATTGTATCTTCAGAATATCTGCCAAAAAAAAAAAATTAAAAACAGGGTAAACCTGTGAAAGAAGCAAAACATAGACAATAACCTGAAACAGAAATGAAAAAGATAATTTACCACCTAATATCCCATTCAGAATCTGCATATTTAATTAAAGGATGTATTTTCTTCGAATTTCTAAAAAGCCTGCTTACTGTTCAGCCTAAATGTCTTGGGTTAGTTTATGACAGAGAAAATTGATTGGATTGAAATGTATATCTTTCTCGCATATAATAACATACCTAATTCTATACTCATAAATGCTAAAGTCCCCATGATTTCTTTATTACAGATTTTATTCCCATTTATGAGCTCCATGTTAAACTGTTAAATCAACAGAATCATCACCTTAGCCTTAAATTAGCATAGCACATCATTAGAGAAAGCAGTGCTATACATTTAATTGCTGTTTTTAAAAGTTATGTCATGTTGTCATGCCCTACCTTTGTGTTCATATGTTACCATGTTTAATTTATAAGGAGTTTGTTTAATTTACAACAAGCTTCTGGGCTCTGCTTCCTGTGGGTCATTCGCTCCCTGAGAGCCCAACTATTTGGGAATTACTGTGGCTACTGCTCTGCGAATATTTGGAATGTAGTAAAACTAAAGTGAGATAGGATAAGGGGACACATGTTAGAGAATGGGAAAGATAGAAAAACAGTGCAGCATGAAACATCAAACCACATTTTAGGGCACTTTTACTGTATTCCCATAAATACACGCGGGCATTATGTTGCAAATACTTGAAACTGTTTGTTTTCATTTTTTGGCCTGATTTTTTAGCATTGAAGAAACCATGTCTAATGATCTTGAGTCTTCTTAAAGAAAAAGAAATTATATTTTCCCTAATGGGTTGCATGTGTGAGTTCTCTCTGGCAGAAGCGCACTAATTAGTGCGTCGTGTCTCACAGAAGGAACGATCTGTCTTAAAGATGCAGGGGCCACATCTGACTGCCGGAGCTGAGTGCAGAACATTGTGATTTTTTTCAGAGATAAACACCATCTCTTTTCACTTATTCATTCCCTCTCCTTCCTGCTTCTTTGGCTCAAGCAGAAGCAGCAAAGGACAGCTGAGTACAAACAGTTTTCTCCCTTCCTCATCCAGCAAACCATGGAGAAAGATCTTGGCTTCTTGACATTAATAACTTTGCTTCAGCTCTACTTGGAACTATTTGGATGGCTTTTCAAAAATGAGAAAGGTACAATAAAAGAGGCCCGAGCTTCCTGTTTTACTCATAAAGCAGCAGATTCAGCAAAGGCTCGCTCTCCTCTGGGAATGACCGTATCCTTCCCTAGAGAGCCGAGATTGTACGATATCATTTCCTTGCACAACTTTCATTGAAACTATTAAAAGACGATCAGCTTGAGTAGGCATAGTGGCAGACAATACGAAGCTTTTCGGTCTTGCTACTAAATAAGAGTAATGGTAGTATAAATGCTTGGCCGCCTCTGAGACAGAAATGTCCCTGTTCAGAGGAAGGGGGGAAAGCCTAACGGCTGTCCCCGAACCAAAATAGAAAAAAAAAAAAAAAGTGACCACCCATCTACCAGGCGTGTATAATGCATGAGTGTATCTGTTACGTGTCTGCATTACACACACATGCTCACAAAACCATGCATACGCCACCTCTGTCATAGTAGCCTTGGCTGGATATTAACTTTTGATTCCCTGCTATATTCAAGAAACTAGAATTGACCGGGGCTCAAATACAGTGCATTTCATGTCGGTACCTGTGACTGACTGCACAGCAAGAGTAGTGCGGCAAGATAGGAATAGACCACTCTGTGAATGAAGATGACCGTTTCATTAGGAGAGCAAAATCAGAAAAACCGGGCCTTCTGATTCTGTTTTGCATTAGTTTGCATTTGTTTCTGGGTGCACTAGAGACAGGATGTCTGCTACCCCTTATCTGTTACAGTGCGGGCCAGAAAGCCAGGGAGATGAGAAACTGCTGCCTCAGGAGAAGCATCTGCCAATCAAAGCCGGCCAGCCCGAGAGATGGATCTCAAGCCCATCAGCACCTCCTCCTCCACGGCCGAGACCTGGGCGGAGGGGGGCAGAGTTAAGTGCGCAGTGCTCTGTGACCCTCTCTAGAAAGTGCAACGTGCTTAGGTACAGTTCCGTGTGATGGAATTTCTTTCTCTCTGGAAGGAGCCTGACAAGCCTTGAAATCAGAAAACGGGGTCTCCTCATTGGAGTCTGTCTGGTGTTGGAGAACCAAGAAACTGCAAATTGCAGAACTGAATGGAAAAGAATGAACTCTCCGGTGGCGTCCGTTCTCACAGGGACCCCATCGAGAACATATATTGTGCTTCCTCCTTTTTGTTTTTATCTATTAGATAAGGAAATACTACGTTTTATCTCAAGGGGTTTTCTTGGAACTTCAGGCATAGAGCTAATCCTGTTTCATGAGATAGACCTTCGCATATTTGAAGACAGCTATCGTGTTTCCAGATTCCGTTAGAAAATTTTTAGAAGGTAAAAGAATTATCTAAATGTAAGTTTCTATTTATCTGTTATATGAATAATATTTTTATGAAGATTTTATTTATGCATCAGAGAGAGTGTAAAAGCAGGGGGAGCGACAGGCAGAGGGAGAAACAAGCAGGACTCGATCCCAGGACCCTGAGCTCATGACCTGAGCCAGAGGCAGACGCTTAACGACCGAGCCACCCAGTCGCCCCATGAATAATATTTTTAAATCACATTTTAGATATATTTAAAATGCTTGCATTTCTGCTTCAGTGCATTTTTGGTCGCGAGCAGGGACTGGAACACAGTACCGAGAGAGGCCAGCAGAAGCTGATCAGAGCTGGGTCCACAGAGGCATAAGGAAAAGAAAGGACTCTGACTGGAGGAAGCAGCAAATGGGGACAGGGAGAGAGGAACCTCCGCAGAGGGAGGCCATTCAGCAACGTTGACCCCACTAAGCTGTCCCAATCCAGAACTAAGTCCAACAGCGGAACAGACTGATTCATGATGTCTACTGCTCAGTATTAGTTTTTCCTGACTCACTGATTGCTTCTTTTCAAAGTAGGTAAAGGATCATTCTGTCTACTGTGACAAGAATGTCTTACAAACCAGAATAGAAGCAAGAAGCCCAGTCAGGTGATTGCAAGAGTCCACAGAGAGATGATGGTGTGGTGTATTTTGCTTTGGGGAAAACTGATTTCAGCCAGTTCTTTTTTGCCTGTTACCACCATCCCTGTATTCATTTTTATTCCACTCACTGAGGTGGGGGGGGGCACCTCTATTTTACCTTTGTAATTTGTTCTTTTTAAGATTTATATATTTACTTTGGAGAGAGAGAGAGCCCAAGTGGGGGGGGTGCAGAAGGAGAGGGAGAGAGAGAGAGAATCCCCAGCAGACTCTGCGCTGAGCACAGAGCCTGATGCGGGGCTCTATCTCATGACCCTGAGATCATGACCTGAGCCCAGATCAAGAGCTGGACATTCAACCAACTGAGCCACCCAGGCTCCCCACCTTTGTAATTTGTTCTACGTGCATTTCCAAGACCCAAACATAGTACAACTATTCATTTGTCTAAAATACTGCAAGCCATTATGGTGATGTCTGTGTCTTGTTCATACTTCTGTCTCCGGTGCACAGCCCAATGTTAGGTAGCATATATTTATTACATGCATACATTTATTGAGTGCATGTTTCCTATGATGATTTTAGAGCTTCCCAAGGGGATCAGTGATTCCAAGGCCAGGATGATATACAGCTTGAGAACATGGGCTCTGGAGCGACCGCCTAAGTTCATATCATGACTGTACCGCTTAGTAGTTATGTGACCCTGTGCAAATTACACAGCCTTCCTAATAGCACCCACCTCATAGATTGTTGTAAGGATCGAAAGTGTTAATACACATAAAATGTTTAGAATAGTGCCCAGCACAGACTCAATACCGTTAGCCTTTATAATTATCATAAAGAAACAAAACCTTATTTCTCTTAATCTCCAGAAGAACAAGGCAGTCATTAGGCAAAATACTTTCTACAGCCAGTAGGACATCATTTAGAAATGCATCGATTTAAAAGGTTCAGTTTATAATTGTTTTGAACCAGGTGGTAGAATGGAACCTCCTGAAGACAAAGTGTGAAAGCAAATTGTTGCATCATCAGATACTGCTTTAATCCATCTTCCTTCTGCCCTTGCTGGAAGGTTAGCTCACAAAGACAAATATGTAAGAAGTAGCATTCATTTTATGCAAATTCACTGCTAATTTTATGGGGAGAAGAAGACTATTCCTGTGCTGATAGTCTTTTTGTTAAAAAAAAAAAAAAAAACACTAAAAGGTACAAAATGCAGAGAATTTACCATAGCTATTGTACTATGAAAATAGTTTGTTCTCCAAAGTGAAGAATGGGCAAATAGAGCATAAATTTTTTAGACATTGTCACTGCCTTCTAATGCCTGTGACTACTCTTTCTTGTGTGGGGGGGGGCTGGAAGGGAAGTAGGGAAAGGAAGCAGAGGTATGGGAGAAGAGATAGCTCCTTCTCCACTCAGTTTTCCAAAAGATGAAATCCTTCAATGGCCCTACAATCAGAAGTTAACTAAAAATGTAAAACTGAAGACTTATTGAAATTTGCCCTTAACCGTTTTTAGGTAGGTGCCACGTTAAATGTTCACAGCTCCATGACGGAGCTTTTCAGTATAGTTAATGAAGTTCGGCAAGGTCTGAGCCTGTCACAGCCTTGCGCACTGCATAATTAGGGGAAAAATAGAAAAGTGGAATTAGTTGAAAGGTGGAAGAAAGCAAAATGGAAAAGGTGACTAGAGTGGGGATTTTGTCTAGTGTCACCAATAATGACTTGTTCTTAGGTGCCCATTTTCCTAATTCTGGCATAAATATTTTTAAGTACTTGATTCTGAGCCTCTTCCTTCATTACTAGAATATAATAAAAATTAGTAGCACAAGTCTTTTAAGTTTCCCCAAACTGGAAAATGGAAGATATGGTATCATTACCATGAAGGGGTCTTCAAATGTCTGAGGATGCTGGATTTTCCATTTCCTTTGACACCCAAATTTATAAGAATTTATAGGAAATACCTTTGGGGCCCCTCTTCTTTAAACAAGGAGTCAATCTTCATCCCTTTGGCAGGTTAAGTTCCTGGGAAAGGCCTGACAAGTCAAAATGATGTGAGTCAATTTTGGATTTTCCCATAGAAACTGTGTTAAGGAGTTTATATTTGTGACCAAGGGTTTGATGCCCCCAGCTTTTTATAGAAATAATTCCAGATACCAAGATTTCATCAATGAAATCAATAATAGAAGGTACTCTCGTGTTTCACAACTTAAGACACATTCATGTATTTTTACTGTAAGGCCATAGGTAACCCTAGGTGGGATTCTTAAAAATTTTTTTCGATCACATTTTTATTTTAAGAAACTAGAAGGCAACAGTATGTCTACATTAGGATGGAAATTTAAAAGGCTGTTTGTAGAACATTTTGACACATTTTTCCAAGGAGATGTAGGGCCATTCGATGGCTCTTTGATAAAGAAACCACACTTTTTCTCATTGCTAATTCCACTGTAGCCAACACAAGCTTTAGAGAATGAGTATTTTGGTGGATCAGTTTGAGGCTGGATTCCTTTCCTCGTAATTACCTTATAAGTCTATCTGTGCTGCCAGTCATAACTGCATTGGTTACCAACCCAAGCGTGCTCATTGCTGTGAGTCACATCTGTGTCTTTCCAAGGCTATCTGTTTACCATTGAAAAAGAAATCTTTTGTATACCCACATTCTATTCATTCCACCAGTTCAGAAAACTCTTTTCATTCCTTCCATACTGACGTGGCTTTATCCTACTCCTGTATTTAGGTAAATTTTGTATACTAATAGTTCAAGAAATATACCTAAAAAGCCTCATGGAAAGGTATTATTCAAAATTATTAAAACCATTCCAGTGAGGAAAACTAAAAGCTATTCACTTTTTCTGGTCTCTACACATGAAAAATCCCTCAAGTTCTTAATGCTTATATCTGGAATTCCATCCCATGGACTAAATTCAGTGTCCACGTACACCGTCTCTCAGTGGTTACAGACTCATTATTACATCTTGAGCTCCCAGAAAAGAGAAGACTTAATCTATGAGTGTGATTCCTACACTGGCAAATCTTGAACATAATCTAAATCTGTGCTTCTAGATGAATCAGGAGCTTCTCATGAATATAAATGTGACTCTGTAGGAAGTGACTGCAAGCCATGATAAGCGGTGGCCTCACAGCATCTATATGTGTTTTGTACACACACAAATACAGATACATTTAGAGAGATATGTACATACATATATACATATCGTATATAGAAACTATTACAAAGGAAGCCCAACTTCCCCAGACTCTGACTGACAAAGAGCCAAATAATTGAAAAAAAAAAAAAGAAAAGAGTTCAGCATTTCAGTCATAAATTTCCAAGACTCATTTCTGTTTGAGAGTGTTTTTGTCTTGCTAACCACAGAGAACAGTTGGAGCAAGTGGATCATTTTATTTCGATTGCTTCTCCGGCACTGGCCCTGAGGGACAGACTTGATGATCTAATAGGCCTTTTCCGTCCTTAATATCTATAATTTTGGCTATTCTGTGGCAGCTTCTTATTGCTTTAAATAAGCCATCTTAATTCAAAAAACATACATCTGGATTTGACCTGCCTAATATATGTCAAGAAGTGTGTGTCCCTTCAAAGCCCCCCCAGGGAATCAAGAGACTCGAGAACCTGAAAGGAAGCAGGAAGAAAGAGTGTGGAGACTATGAGTCCATTTTTTGTTTATTTGATTTAAGTTATTATTTTTCAATCATGAGATCATCCCTTAGGCCTCTTTAAATCTTATTTAGTTTTGTTTCATTAAAATCTAATCTAAACATTACGTTCTTTCAGAGTTTTTGGAACTTGTTGATTCGGTTTCTTGGAAGTCATCTTACCATTAACTAGCATTTTTGTTTCACAGAATTTGGTCATCGTGTCTGACCAATTCTTGGCCTCAGAACCACTTTGCAACTACACAGACTTGAATATCTAAAGAGGAAGTGGTGTCTATGCATTGCTCCGAATGTCAGCCAGGGGTGGTCCTCACCAGGTGTGTTGGGAGCATGATTACA